GGAGAGTAGTCTTGGGTAGAGAAAGGTTCTAGTATCGGGTTAGATGGCTCAATTGTTTTCTGCTACAGAAACGCCCTGTACATATATATCCAAATTATACATGTATGGGAAAATACATGTAAATTTGAGTTAAACTGCAGAGAACCGTATTTTCTAACATGTACTTGTACTCTTATATTGTTAGGTCACAAGCCTAAACTTTTTCCTTGCTCAGCTCCTCTCTCGTACCTTTAGATTAGCATGGCATAAGGCTTCCCTTTTCTAAATTCTATTATCTTAGGACTAAATGTTTATGGAGTCAGGGAAGCTGAATACACAGCAACTGTGGAAAACCTTTGTGCAAATTAACAGACTTTTTCATCACTTGCCACGACCCAGTTATACATAATCTCATTTGTTGATATGATTCAGCCTTGTAATTGGGTGAATTGCAAAATCATTGCGTTCCAACCTTCACCCGTTTTCTGTTGCCGAATCAAACCTGTTTTCGGTTTTGAAAATTACTAACTTCTCAGGCTGTTTGGATTGGATCTCTTTATTCTCAATTCCCTAGTCGCTTTCTGAATTTTTAATTTTTTTTTCCAATTTATTCTGTGTTACACAGCGTGGATGCCACAGCAGAGTCTGGTCGCATTGGCCGTCTCCTGAACCACAGCAAGTCCGGCAACTGTACCACCAAGCTCATCAGCATTGACGACCGACCCTACCTGATTCTGGTCGCTGCCCGGCCCATCACCGCTGGTGAGGAGCTGGTCTACGATTACGGTGATCGAAACAAGGAATCACTGAGGTCCCACCCATGGTTGGCACTCTGAAACCAAGGGGGGTACGCATGTCCGTTTCTGGATGAGCATGCGCCCAGAATGAGAGAGCTACGGATATCTGAATGGCAGTGACTTGGTTTGAGAAAAACATGACCACGATGTAGCCAGTCTGGTAAAAATTGGTTTGGGTGGTGCAATGGCTCGCTGTCAGTATCAACCCAAAAGATGGTGGATAGAGAGCAACACGGAGATGGCAGTGCAAAAACTCAATATTCCAGGTGCTTATCATGGTGTCTATGTATTGCCAGTACTGTTAATTTGTCACAGATTCTAGTGCCTCTAAGAAACTTAACTCTGTCATCGCCCCCCATCGAAAGCGCCATCAAATTTTGGGTCTAGAGGCACTTTCTGAGATCTGTACTTTTGACACTTAGGTTGAGTTACACATCCATTTACATGTACTCCTACTTTCATGTGGAATTAGTTCTTGGTGAAGAAGGCAGCCATTGTAAGGTCACTTGACTGAATTTCCTCTTCCTCATTGAGGGATCCTTTGCTGCAAGTACACATTGCTATAACTTGAAACAACACAGGAGCCTATGGGAAGTGGATAAAGAGGCTAGTTCAAAGGGCTTCCATGGGACCATGTATGATTTGCAGCCGTGGCCCAGTAATTTGGACACAGCCATAGTCCTGACACTCTGTACAAACAACTGGGGCTGATTTACTGAGTTCTCGGCAGCATCAATGCCAGTGACATGCCCGGTGGAAGTCTAGCCAACGAGCCACTTGTCACAAATGCTTTATTATCATGCCACAGTTCTGAAATTCACAGCCAAGTCAAACGAGGCAATGCAAGTCCTTGAAATAAAAAACTGTGAACATGTATAGACGGAATTCGGGTTTTTACTTTAGGATTTTTAAATCTCAGGCTATTTGGGAAAAAGCTCCTTGGATTTTCTGAGGGGCTTTAATTCGCGTCTGAATTAATGTTTGTAAAATGGAATTATCTTAAAAATCTTTACCATCTTATTGGTTCAAAATGTTACTGGCAAGTCTATTTGCTATATGTGCAGAAGATATGTGTACATGTTTACCCAGTATGTGGCATGTATGCTCATTACTATTTATGCCATTGGGACAGTCGGGGTAGTCTGGGTTCTAGACTTTTAGCCTAGTTCCTTTTCATTTCAAGAACAAACTAACTCAGTATACATACATGCACTTTTGTATCACACAAATGTATTTTTGTTTTTTAAATCTCTTATTCCGATTTGTGAAAACGAATTGTGAATTGATCAATACAATGTACAGTGAATGTAAAGTGGAAGTCAACTGTTGTATAAAACGTAGTGTATTTTAACTTAAAACTGCAGTCAGGTTTGATTGACGATGGAAACGGCTAAAATAAAACAGCTGAAAGTGCACTGCGCAGTACCATATGTGCAAGCTGTCAGCCTTGTAAACGTGTAATAACTAAGGTACAGTACTTGCGACACATTTGACCTGTACATGTACTTGTGTGCAGTTAGTTTTTCCTTTTCGTTCCTTTTCAGTAACTTAATCCTTAAATTGGACCAGGCATGGCAGGCATCTGTATCTGTACACTGACCTGCGAAATTCTAAAACAAAAAAACGAAACACAATTAGACACACGTACATCTACATGTATGCACCACGGAAAACACAAGTCAGTCAAAATACAGTAAATTTAATCCCCTCGCTGTGTTTATTTTAAAAATTACACACAAAACACAAACTTGACGTTTTAATCGAATTTATAAAAGATGAATAAATAATAAAGATTTTGACAATGAATTTAATGATTTTTGTAAAAGGTAGAGCAGACCACTGCAGGTATCTAAAAACCAAAGGTGACCAAATTATCCTTACAAATCACACTTGTTTGAAAGACAGCAATGGCACTGGTTGAAAAGCTACCGTGTAGTTCCAAAACTAGTTGAATTCAATATTCCTGGGAGGTAAAATCAACTATCCACCCTCAAACTGTGTTAGATTCATAAAATCAACAGCTAAAATTTCAATGGGTCAGTGGTAATATGCAGGTGTCTTAAATTTTCAGCAATTCTGCACCTCCCATAAAAACTAAACAAGAGGCAAGATGGTCCAGCCTACCTTTCAAGGTGCCATCAAAACAATGAAGATTTATTCTGAAATCAGCATTAAAGTTGGTGATGTTGGTTGGTAACAAGATACACAGAAACCTTTAGACAAGTTCTACAATAATTTTCAGGAAAAACCAACTTTAAAGGGACTGTAACTTTTGTCATACATGTACAAATGTAAACATGCAGAAACTGTTAGAAAATCATTTAAAAATCACTTGTACAATCTATACAGTGAAATTATGTTTTGTACATGAGGTAGATACTGATCTGTGCATGCATACACTCAATTGTAAATACATGTATCTGCATAAATTGAATCTATAATTCTAAAAATGCTCTTTAAACCATTTTTCCGAATGGAAAGTTGCATTTCCTCTGAATACACTCCCTGTGGTGATCAACTTTGACCTCTGACATGACCTGTTCCTTATAGATGACTGAACTGAAAGTTCCCACACAATAGTATCTTTCTGACAGTCATACAAATCAACACTGACACAATGATTATTGGTCTGATAATATGCATGGATATATAGGTCTACAGTGTAAAGGCATTGAATCCCTGCACAGCATGAACTGCGGAAATTGTACATGTGCACAATGTATGCAAAGAATGTGCTTTCCAGTGACCTAGCCTTTCAACAAACCACATTTTGTCTCCTCAGTGGCTGAGATGTAATAAAACTACTGTACACTTACAGTCCCAAATGGGAGCACCCACTGTCCAGCCATCAAGAAACCCTGTAACTGCACTGATTGGATAAATGGGTTCTCATTTAGTTTCCATGGCTTTATGTCATCCAGAAGGTATCCACAATGCTTTTGATTGCAGTAATACTAACATATTGGTTGTAACAGATCAGAGCCTTAAAAAACATACTATCAGGTTTAAGAAATACAGGTGATTTGGGCCACCAAAAGGGTGCTGTAGAAAGGCCATTTTTCAAAGTGCATTGTGGGAAATGGTTGACCAATTCCATTCCCCACACTGTATTGTGAATTAACCCCTACATGTATTAATTAAAATCATTTTACACACATTTTCTGATCCACAGAAGAATTTATGGCAAGACTGTCACACTTGCAATCACAGTACAAACCCTGGCGGCCCTGAATCCTCCAACAATTTGAAGGTTGAACAGACTATGCACACATGGTAAATTGTACTGTAGGTACATATTCATGTACACATATATTTATTTACGTGCACATATGCATATTCATATACATGTATCTGTTTGTGTAATATTTACATACACATCTCGAAAGATAGCAATTTCACAACACTGATGTCTGTACATATCATTTTTCCTCCATTTTCTAAATTCACATAAAAGTCTCTGTCACTCATTTTTCCCACTTTGCAACTCTGCACAGATCTGTCCCAGTAACTGCAACCCACATTGTGTCAGCTTAAAAGGTGGAATGGACCATTTGTAGCTATTGGTAACATCATTAACAACTGTACATGTACTTGGTTTTAACATAGTAACGTGCTAAACTCCCTTGTACGTAGTTATTCCACCTGACGTTACAATTACCGTATGGTTAAGGATAAAAGGTGAAAAGTCAGACATGGCAAGTTTTGAACTGAGTCACAAGACCTAGAAATACTGCTTGTTTCTTGAATCGTGAGGTTTTCACAAAACTAAAACTTCATCAGGTTGGTTTAATAGGTAGAAATAAGCACTGAGGTAAATTTGTGCAGTTTTGTGCCTTCCAACCCCCCCCCCAAATGCACAAATGGTCCATGCTACCTTCAAGGTACGGTCAGGTAATTCATACAGCTGAAGTCTTTCTGTGCAGGTCTGGCCAGTGGCGGCCTACATGTAGATACCTGATTGGATTCACCTCTGGTGTTGTACTCCTGAGCACCGACACTTTCAAAGACTAATACGTACATTGCATTGCAATGTGCAGGGGACTTCTGAAGTTGAATACAATGCTGATGATGTTTCCAAAACATTGGCAGGAGCAACGTTTCTCTCACTGCATCTCTTTGACTGTCAACAGTGAAGTGACCCAGCCCCCCTCGTAAAAAATTCAGCATTTAACTGCTGACAGAAACACGTCCTTTGTCACTATTTTACCTTGTACATGGGTACATGTATATGACTGGTCTCCTGAAAGGACTTGTGAAAGACACTTGTGATGGACTCATCCCTAACACTGCCCTGCTGATTTTCAACGGTCTAAACCATCCAAAACCTGTTTAATACAGATGGGACGTTTGTGCCTCTTTCCAACAGTGCCTTACTGATTTGTTGCTTTTGCAGATGTCTTGTTTGGATTTTCTTAAAGATGCTCAATGTGTAATCATTCCCATCAAGTCAACAAAGTCCATTTTCACTACTGTATTTATAAACTAATGTTTGAAGTGTTTTGCCCGCTTATCAAACAAGTACATACTGTGAAGAAGTGTGAATTGATGTTCATTTGAACTGCACTTTTTGGTTTTAAAGCCAAGATAAGCTCAGACATTTTTGACAGTTGTCACTCTTCCAGCAAATCAGGTGATCAGAAAAGCACAATTTCCTAGCGCACAAAAAGGTAGGATTCTGGTCCGAGGTACTTGTAAATTCAGTGGCTTTGCTTTACAATGATCCTGAGATAGAAAAAATGCATTGCAACAACACCAGGATTCACTGCACATGACATTACCAAAAACCATTTTTAAACTTTTAAAATGGCTTCTTGAAAGATTCTCACTATGGGCGGACCCTACTTTGGTTCCACTCGAGGACGCTCCCTTGCTAGTCTGGTTTCGATCCCTCGGTGTGAATGGAGTAGAGTAGCTGGTATACATTCTGGAATGATGACCAGACTGGATCAGGCTGGATACTGGGCTTGGGATCGCCATCACGGTACTGAACGAAGCAGCGAGCAATCTTCTGGTTGAAGTCGGACACTTCTGGGTTGACTAAATATTCATCCAACTAAGTACAAGAAGAACAAAAAGGGAATTTCAGAGAGAGGGAAATATCTAGGATAACAAAATGGTAAAATTAATCTAACTTGCAACAGTAAATCCATTAACCGACAGACTTCAAGCCTGAAACAGTACAATTCTGGTACTTCAACAACTATGGGGCAGCTGTATTCAAATATTTAAAGCTACATGCAAGACTTGTAAACCTCATCCAACAAATACTTTATCGCTGTGTTTCAACTCTAAATTAAATTCAAGATGGGCTGCTCATAAAGGATACTGTTTGCATGCTGAACCTGGGTTCAATTTAAGTGCAAGTAATGATGTGTCCTCACTTCGCTCTTACGGGATGGCAAAAGAGCACCCCCCGCTACAGCTCACCACAGACCCATTTGCTATTTTACATACCTCAACTTCAGCTCAGCCTTTTATTTTTAGACTCACTTGTCTGCCAGAATACTAAAGATTTCTGACATTGGACAATCTGGCTTAATATCAGACAAGTTCTAACTAGAAGAACATGAAACCTTGTGACTGTCACAAAAATACCGGTAGGAAGTTTTAAATTGGCTTGGCAAATACCAGTAACTTTCTCTGAGGGTAAAAAGAGACCAAATCTAGAGGCTGAGCTAAGCTTTGTGGAAAGGGCCGTAAAGATCAAAGGAAATCCTTCATATCCTATCATAAGCATCCCCTCGCTGTCCAAGAAGAGAAAGGTTGGTGGGAATTGTTTCATCTGGGTGTCCGGCACACATGGAAAGACCATACATTCCAACCTAACCTGGTTGTGGGTGCATAACAAAGCGCATAAACCTGTACACACACAAAGGGAGTTCCTGCTACAAGGGTTATCCCGACTGTGTAAGTGCACGCCATTTTGTTTCTGCACGGAGCGGATACTCACATCCATCCATTTACATTCCTCTATCTCTTGAGGGCAAGCAGTGATCTCAGTGGTCAGTGCTTTCATGTGACAGACAAAGTAAATATCGGAGAGGCCGAACCGGTACTTGTGCTGGTGGCGGAAACTCAGGATAGAAACAAACTCGGCCTTGATGCCCGTCTCCTCAAGAACCTCCCTCTTGGCCGTTTCAGCAAGCTCCTCCCCTGAATACAAAAAAGAAATGAGCCAGTCAGTATTTTGAGAACATCAAGAACAAGCATCAAGAGATATCCCCTACATGTACACTGTAGATCTTTCTGAATTAGCTGGTTTGTCAAAGCAGTTTTTGCGAGATATCTAAACCAAGCCTATGGTGGAATTATGACAATTTTTGGCTTGACAGAAACCTTGTATACTAATACCAGAATCTTGCTTTAACTAGAATTGCATTTGCTGAATCAGAATAAGTTAAGTTATGGTCCTCAACGCAGTCCAACAATCTTATTCAACCCTTGACCAACGAATCTCTAAGTACCATTAACTTCATGGTCACTTCTGGATGACATCTTGCTGGGAGTCATACCGCACCAACCTGCCCTTCACTGTTCTAATCACTTTCACTCACTGACCCTACCCAGCCCTCCATTTTCTTCAATGATGAATCTCACCAAGGTCTGAATGTCCTCCGGGTAGCTTCCACATAGGCTTCTTGCCGTGATTGTACTTCTCCTTGATGACCAGCAGCTGGTTGTTGTCATTGGTCACAAAACCTCCAACCCCTTCAATACCAGAAATGGACAGCATTTGAAGAATGAAAAGACAAAACCAGCAACTGTACATTAAACTGCATGTAAAAGTTACTGCGGTTGTGGCACCCTACACCTGCACACAGGTGGTCAGGTGCACCAACATTCACCCCAACCCCCGAGGGTGTATGGAAAATCACATTGAAATTGGAGGATTGGGACTGTTAGAGCTGCCTCTTCAACTTATAGAGTTAAGACAAAAATGCATACGTGCCAGAAGTTTAAGGTTGCATGTGTGAGGGGGTGCCAATAGAGGGATAGGTGTCTGGTAGGATTAGTCTGACACTGCATATATAGCTCACATGTAATTGGCAGAGGACTACATGATACTGCAAGTACATGCACCTATCTCGGTGGCAATATTTACACCAATATCACTCTTAATATAGGGCATTACCCTGGAATATAGTGGTTCTTAAATCCAACTGGATTCCACAAATGAGTCTCAGGACATCTTTAGGATCTTTGTTTTCAGTTTGCATATTCAAAGAGCAAATACATGTACATGGAGCTCTTTGTTTGGACAGGTCCGTCATTCTGAGAAAATGACCAAACTGGACAATATATACATGTATAGCGATAAAAAGTTCCTACATATGCATGCCCATTTGGATCCAATCCACTGTGAAAGATTTTAGGCCTGTTATCTCAAAAGTAAATGTTTCTCTTGTGACTTGTTTTATTTGTAGGTTCACAAATGTTGATGATTATGTTCAGGTTCATGTCAAATTTCTTCTCCTTGGGCAATCATTTGCCACATTTTCAAACAATGTCCTTCACTTTTTCTTCAAATTCAGGTGATTGAAGTGTTAACAACCAAAGGCCAATGTGCCTACCTATGTAAGTGTGGGAATAGCCTGGAAGCTGATTGGGCTCGTCGCTAGGCAACCATCTTATCATCATGACGTACGATGGCTGCGCATGGTGGAAGACAAACTTGTGCTACATGTGTGAATGAGCGATGGACAAGCTCTGATTACAACCTCACATGACACAGGGAATGCATCCGTACTCGTAGCTGCCTTTCCCAAGAACATATGTAAATGATATTGTTACTCTATCCAGTGGAATTCAACCTTTCAAACACCATTATTTGGAGCCTGAAAGAATACTTTCAGTTATATAATTTCTCCTATTCAATGCAAATATGCATTCCACTTCCTGGCTCAGTGGACAGATCTAGAGATGGGGTAACTAATAAAGTTAATGCAAGTGATTAGGTGCTGAGCTCCAGAAAATGACAGGAGCTGGTAAAATCTCATTTTACATGTACAAGTTAAGAGATAATTACATTTGGTAAAGCACACTGCTGCTTATTCTATCACACTGGGGTCATTTCAAGTCTGCCTCACCCACAATCCTCTGTATTTACACATGAACATGTACCCTACCATGCCTACTGGTTTGTACTCTCCAAGATTAAGCATGGACGGACGATAAACTCGAGTTAGCAAAACAAAGCAGCATGTATAAGAAAATGTGCTTTTGACCCAAACAATCCCAGAGATCATTCAACATTGACCCTGATCTTCTGGAGAATATGGGAAACGCCAAACGTCTGAGGATGGTAAGAAGTTTGTCACTCTTATTCTACACAGGGTTTGATGTTTCACTGTTTGTGGGTGATTTCAGGAAGGTTTCTTGACAAAGTCCTTAGAAGTACGACAAGGACCATAAACGTACCTTGACAGCTTCAGGAATAAGTTCAGTCTCCTGAAGAGATATCTTCAACCAGATGCCTCTCTTACACAGGGACTTCCAATATTCCACGGAGTCTGTGAGATTAGAATGGAAAGGTAGATTTTTCAAAGGAAATAAAGTAAATGTCTTTTTCAGCCTGAAGCAATGGCAAATATGTAGGAACTGTTCAGCAATTAAGGATTATGTAAACTTAACCAAGGGACTGAGAATAGATATCCCTATGTACGTGTACATGTATTAGTACATTACCTGCATTACTTGGTCAATCTTTAGCTAGCATTATGGAGCATCTACCACATGTACATGTAGCTTTAATTTACATCTACGTGTTGCTCAAATTAATGAGAATCACGTGCAGGTACATGTTTATGTACATACAGTACAAGTGCATAATGTTTTTCTTAAAAGGAACCCACATCTGATTCGCTCAACTTCAATAAAATACCTGTTTCTCAAGATTTGAGGGACTGTTTGAACTTTTTTCTGTTGAGAGGTACACACCGCAATTTCTGTTATTGCTTGAAGCAAGTATTATTTTCTACAAATAAAAAACTAGACAACTAAATGTATATATGTGCATAAATGTCTAAACAAGTTATTTTGGCATAAAGAAAAACTTTGGTAAGTGTGCATTATTATTTATTTTTTTCTGGTAATGACACAAAGGACAATGACACCAAAAGTGCCCTAGGCACTGTTGCTCGCAAGCCTGAAGAAACCTGTAGAGAGGAGACAATGAGAAGCAGAACTTTAAAGTTTTCGAGGTGGGAGGAAAACCCCCGAGGAATATTCTACATGTAGGTAAAAGCCACGGAATCAGGTACATATGGGGACTGAAAACCCAATCCACATGTGGACTGAGCCGGGAATCGAACCCAGACTGCAGAGTTGGAAGGCAAGGAAAGAACCACTGCGCCAACCCAACCTCCCCCGTACTTATGGGGGGGGGTCTTAAACTTCTCTTAATCCTACCAACCTTAACAGTCCTCAATCCTCTAACGAGTAAGGATCGAGCACTGTTGGGAGTTAATATAGCCAGCCCACCCTACTGGAATTTCTTTCATTGCAAAGATCACAAAGTGGTTTTGTTTCACACATGTACATGTACATGTACATGTACATGTACATTGTACATAACTATACATGTGCATCATGTTCATGTACATGTACACTACTGCACCAACAGTAGATATACATGTACATGTACATACATGTGCACACCAGAGTGTTTATTAAATTATCACACACCCCACATGTACACTAGCTGTTACATATATAATACAGTTAAACATCAATCTTTTTGACCCAGTATCAGTTCATACAGGTTGTTGAGGGCCATCCAAGCCCAAATTTTACGCAAGTCACATGTACATGCACATGTATGCTTGTACCCTGGAACATATTCATGTTGACCACTGTCTCACCATTGCCCAATACTAGCTAAATGGAAATACGGTACTTATTGTATGTTAATCACCTGCATGGGTGCCTCCTTAATAAACAGCACCATTAAACCATCTGTGCACAGTCACAAGAATTAAAGTAAACACAGCATGGATACATGTGCATGTGGGAAGGAATTGTACAACCCACTGGGTTAACACCTGACCCTGCCATACATATACACCTAGTCAAGGATGCAGTGAGTGATTATACCCTGATGTTTAAGTACCAATTATCAGATTATCTGGTTTAATTTTCATGACAATCTGCCATTAATGATGCTGCATCCCCTCACCTTCCCTAATCCCTATACCCTGCTTGATATTGTCATTACATGTATATTGTGTGGAAATCAGATATACATGTACATGCACAGTATACACTGTTGTTTTTGAAGTACTGAATAGTTTAGGAATCCCATTGGGGTACAGTCCATCATTTTTGCCGTTTGTGCATTATGTTCCTTTAGGCAAGCAAAATGCTCAAAAAAATCTGAAGTAAAAATGCGTAACAACTTACCTGATGAAGTTTCAGCTCAAAAATTGCTGTCTATTAATATAGATATTATTCTCGGATCTCAATCTCAAATAGAAAGTTGCTGAGTCATGTTTTACATTACGCCTGAATTAAGGGGCTACAACACTTTCTCAATCAGCCAAATGTAGCTATGCGATGTCGCGCACTGAACTGACAAATAATTGCAACCAAGCACCCATGTGGGTCATGTCAAAGCTGCTGTGCACTTTGCTGAATTAATAAAGGCACTACTGACGGCAATCTCCATAAGTGTATCTTTAGACGCATCGTTGGAAATATGGCATTCTATCATTGTTTCCTTTTCTTCAAAATGAGAACTTAAATTGAAAAAATATTTGAAAATATGAGAGTTTAGTCCCATACATCTTCAAACCAAGTATGCTTTCGCTTGTCATTTACTTTTGGATAATTACGAATCATGATGGATTGTACCTTTAATTACCGGTATGCATGATGACCACAGTGCTAAAATCAGCCCTCTGGAATAAGATTTGATGGTACATGTAAATGTACAAAGGTAAGATTACAAACTACATGTACATGTACATGTAAATGTGAGACTTCAGACACTCCCAGTTTTGTAAAATTGAAGTTTAAAGGAGAAAAGCACTCGGAAAGTCCTTGGTCAAGTACTTTTCAAGTACATGTACTTTTGTCCTAAAACCTTAATTTTTAATGAAATAGTGATGGTCTGAAGTCATCATTTTATTTTGTAATTTTACCTTTGGGCACGATCATCAAAGGCCCATGTACATATACATGTACTTCAGCTTTGTTCCATCCTAACTAGCTCAATATGTGTCAGAGAACTTGGTCCTCGACTACAACACTGGTGACACCTTGTACCACTCTTAAAAATAATCCATCGAGGGCCACTGAAATGTGAAACAAAAAATCAGACACTCTCAATTTGTCTTCACAAAATTAAACCGTGGCATTACCTTCTAATCTTTTGCCAAAGTCCTCCACTGAGCTCCACTGCTCTGCTGCTAGCGTGACCTTCACACCCCCAAAGCTGTCTGCTACACCTTGCAACAAATTGTTGGCATTCTCAATCAGGCCACTAGTTTGAACTGGTCATTTGAAAGTAATGAAATGAGAAATACATTTATTCATCATAACTAATTACAATACCATGGCTGAGCAAAAAAGGGAAAGAATTCAAAACAGATGACACCAAGTTTTCTTTCAGTTAAAAAGTAGAATTTAGCAGGAAAAATGAGGTAATCACGTAGAAAACAATTTTTCAGACCAGTCTTATCAGCTTCTAGGGTTTGTGCACATGGTGTCAAGCAGTGTCTATACATGTACCGGTATGGACGCTGCTTCCCCAAAAAGTAACAATTGGATACAAATGCACTGCTATTCAATGTTGTGTACAATGTACATGTCATTATCCGGCTGCTTTTTAAAAAATATCATCATCACCGAAGTGATTGAATTATATAAAAAGCACAATAAGTCATTAAGAAAACAGCGTAAGAAAAACGGCAGTAAAGAAAACACAATTCTTATGAAAAGGGCATAAAATTTAACAACTGGTTAACCAACCTGAACATAAAATTGATTATAAAGATACACGTACATGTACATTTAACCCTAACACTCCCAAATCCTCCAATTTGATTTTACACACGCCCTCGGGGGTTAGGGTTAAATCTTAATTGCACATTTGAATTCATTCTCGTTTGATATTCTCTTTAAGTTGTGTTGCAACGGAGTTCCACAGTGTTGGTCCGGAATTAGCAAATGCCCCAACAGTATCACTGAGTTTATTAATGTGACTGAGAAATGTAAAGTTTCAAGGAATCCTGACTTCGCAAACTGTGAGCACACTTCACGATCTTGACTTCACGATCAAGTCTGTCAAATAAGCTGGTGCCTTGTTATGTACGACCTTCCAAGAACCAGTATCTTGAACTGCACATGTGCACGAACTGGAAGCCAACTGCAAATCTTTAATTGTGAGATCCATGTATACAGTGTGTAATCCCCCAACTATCCAAGTGGCATTGTTTTACAATTGCTTTAATTTGTCAAATCAATACACTGAGACACAGAGTTAACATACAAGTGGTTCAAGTACGAGGTTCAGCAGCTCCTTGGTTAAAATATTTCCGAATTCGATGCATGTTTGTATTGGTGCAATTGCACTTATTTACAGGCATGATTTACATGTGTATCAATACACAGTCTGCAATCCAACCAAATACCCAAACTACCAGTAGTACATGTACATGTACAAACACTGTCAACAATTTTTATATTGTGGTCAATTCCAACTTTAACTTGTCCAATATTAATTTCATCTACACGTATGGTAGATGTTACTGAGATCCAAACAAAGTGACCTCTGTTTCAACTTGAGTTCCAACATCCAGGCTTGAACTGAGGCAAAACAGTGCTCACCATCTTGCGGTGAATCTCTTTAATTGCTTGGTTTAGGAGCGACAAATTGCAATAACTGAGTATCATCAGCATACCCATAACTACTAATTATTAAAAACCTTAAAAAAAAAAGAATTTGAATCAGCCATCAAAAAAGCATGGGGCCCAAAAATGAACCTTGTGGAACAGCAAACTTGATTGACAAAATACTACCTGATAAAACTGCTGAACTAGACACTCTTTGATAACGATTACAGAGGTGATGATGCAAGCAGGCCTAACTGCAGTATCACAAAGTCCAAAATTGTTCTCCATAATTTGGAGTAACAAGTTACATGTAAATGTAAAGTGTATGGTCAACTTTATCAAATGCAGCACTAAGACTGGGTAACACCATCATATTCATACCGGTATTGAGGAGTTGATTATCCATGCATTGGAAGATACATGTATATCCGAAGCAATTCCACAAAGCATAGTCTCTTTATTTTGAAAAATTGATTGATACACTAGAAAAAGATCATTCTTGCTATTTGTTCCACTAATTTTGATATGGACAACTTCCTGAATGGTCTATCAGGTCAGGAATTTCGTTTTTGAAGGGGCATGGCAATTTCTCATTTGCAAAGGGCACTTGAAAATCAACTTGTCTATGGGCACATTTCAGTGGGCACTGAGGCAAAGATCAGCCCTGGACACAAAGGCAATTGCCTCCAGTGTCTATGTGAAGTTACAGCCATGGTTTATAATTCAATAGCTTAACCCCAACATCAGCTTCTTTATCAAAGGAACCACCACTTCCTGTTTCCATGCATTACAATACAGCAAAACCACCAATTCTGAAGGAACAATTAACAAAATAACAATGTACATGAATGTAAGCACCAGGTACCGTACATTTTACTCTAAAATGTACACAGGTTGGCAGGGATTTTTTTGGTTCAATTAACAACCTGATTATCTTGAATTGAATTGTTTCAGATTCAATGCAGGAATTAAATGATTTATGATCACGATTAAATTTTACTTAATTTTTAAGGGTACAACTCTTCTAAAGAATATAACAGGGTAAAACTTTGCTATAAATACAGACATTGGTTTTTATCAACCTTTTTTTCTATTTTATTTTGGATTAAAATGCTGGTCATTATGCAGTGAAAAAATTCCTTGTACAATGTACAGTACATGCTTAATGAGTTTAATCACACAGGAGTCATTCCCAAGGAGCTGGATCAGGAATAAACCCGAAACATTTTGTGTTACCGAAATACGGTATAAAGAAGTCTCAAATATCCAAACCTACACATGTATGTAAACGTATGTATATTTATAACCCTAACAGCCCCGAATCCTCCAATTTCAATATGATTTTGCGCACTCCCTAGGGAGTTAGGGATGTCTGTCGATGGTAATGAAATTTGCATGCCCTGATACACGTACTGGTACACAGCTGTACAAAAAGTCCCCTCATTTACATGTACTGTAGCTCTCAGCTAACATGTATCCATGTAGAATATTTTCTACGAACATTTTATCCAAGTGTCAGCTATTTGTAGCCTCATATAAAGGAACCATTTGGCAAATACTGGTATGTACCGGTACATGGACATGTACGGTATGTGTGATTGATCGCCTTTTTTCACTCACACTAACAGATCCTTCCGGGAAAGAGTTCCATATATGGTGTGAATACAACTTGACATCCCCCCCCGCACAAACCCTATGAGACTGGTCTGAATAGTTCTGTTTAGCTAAGTACACGACTTGGTTTTTCTGTAATAAATTGAACTTTTCTGGACATGTTTTTGCTTTCTGAAGGCAAATACGAGTAGGTCACTGAAGGGAATAACTATTGGTGTCCGCAAATGGAACTATTCCCTCCTTCTATTTTGCAGCTCCCAGTTAAGAACCCCTCCCATTTTGGGAGTACAGGTAGGATCTACACACGTACAGATACCATATTGGCTTGGCGTACATACAGTACATGTATATGTACTGCAGATGTGTAATGTTGAAAGGTTTAAGTGGTCATTAATTAGCTATTATGTGATTTTAATCAACTTGATTTAAATCTCTTAATTTCAATAACATTTTATTTTTTTATAAAAAAAAGAAAGAAACAATTTCAGACTAGGCAGGCCCATAGGCTGGGGGGATTCAGGGGGGGGTTCGAACAAACACCTGTTCGGTCGCCAAATTGATTTTAGCACCCCCGCACGAGTAAGTGAACAAAGCTACATGTAGAGGGGAACAAATTGTCGCAAGCATCCACTTGCCAAACGTTGTGCAACGTTGTTTTCATGAATTTGTTCCCCTCTGTTAAATCTACTGAGCATGCGCACATGAAATGTGAAAAAAGCTCATTAACAACATGATTAAGACATGTACATGTATATATATGTAGGCCTAGGCCTAAATAAATGTACATGTAACTGTAAGATAACTCATATGACTTACCAGAATTTGAATCCATTTTAAATCTTTTAAGAACAAAGATGATTTGCCAATTTCAGCGGTGCTGGTTGGCTGGGAGGACTAAATACACAAATGATTTGGCCAAAAATTAAACAGATAATTTAGTCCACATGCTCCCCGCTTTGTTTTCGTCTTGTCACTGGTTGTTCACCGTGTTTAGGCCGTTGTTCATGTTGTTTTTGTTACACCAGGACACTATACACTTCACACGATCCACAGCAAGTACCTAACAACCTCCGGGGTGACCATGCAATCACAGCAGCATCATTCACGGCACTAATTTCTGAACTAGGACACATTTATACAGCAAAATATCAGAACATGCGATTCACTGAGTGCCAAATCCGTCCCACAGCTGTTTCTGATTTTGCAACGAAAGTGTCAAAACAATGGATGGGGTCAAGAGAGGGCGCTCGTTGTAGTTTTCTTGGAATGGCGCGCCGGTGCATGACGTCACTACGCAAAACTCGTGCTGTATCGAAAGCCCAGTTTAAAAACACACATATATGCAGGATAAGGGACCAACTACAGGAATTGCATTGTAATACGACACAGATCAAAAACTTCCTCTTGGCTCCCTAGGAAGTTTGTGAGAGCGCTGTTAAAGGGTGCCATAATTGAGGTTGTTTAATTACTCCTGTTTGTTTGTCTGCGCGTGACATATGATCTGGTTGTCAGTAACGAAATCATATAGTCTAAAAGAAAATCCTCTTGGGTATTTCATGACTTTTGTGATAAAGTCTGAAGTGTAGGGACATTGCTGTTGCACTATGAATAAAATGTACGTAGTTCTGTGTTTGATAGAAGAGCTTTGCATATCGACTGCTTTCATGATTACTTTTTTCCTTCAAGAAATGGAATTTGTCCCTCAAGGCTGTAGTTTCTGAGGACGCCTACATGTATGTATTGCAGTGCCCCGGGTAGTTAGTTGGGTCAATACATCAAAGTTGAGTATTACAAGCAACATCTTGCGTGTCTGTCTACGTCTACATACCACGTCCATTGCTTGTTGAATTCATGTTGAGAATGGCTTCCTTGTACCGTCCCATTCAAACCATCCCTATCACATTAGTAGGCTACTTGGCAACTAAATTTAAGCCCGTAGAGAGAGTATCTCGAACGTAAAGCCTGTGTAAATATTAATACGCCTTTAGTTTTGTTTTTGGTAGCCTGCAGTATTTTAGTACATGCAGTATCCGGTTCGTAAGTGTGACGCCACTTCAGTTTAAACCACGCCCACTGCACAAGATACACGACCATCGCAGGTACGTTAGTTCGCGGTAAATTGACGTTATTTCATCTTTTGATTTCACGTGTCGAGTCATCCTGAAAGACTCTTCCACAGAAATTTGCAGCCTGAAAGTCTGAATTTAACACACCTTTATATATTTTGTGTCTTGACTCCTTACTTTCAATCGTCTGATCGTATTAAGAATTGAATCTGACACATACAGCCTCGTTTTCAAACGCGGGAGTGCGCACATCGACGCTAAAAGCGCCGTATTGGGATCCTCTATGGGTTTGCAACATTACGTGTAACTGAAATAGGAGGTCACCAACCTGTGACATTATTGTTCAAAATACTGCGCCATTAATAGACTCCTTGTATAAGCGGCCAAACTGTGAACGCCATGTTCCAGGAAGTGGGTCGCTAAAATAATTCTCAGTGCAATGAGTGAAATCTTGGCAGAGAAATTTCTCGCTACAAAACCATCTGCAACTCTCTCTTAGTTTGAGAAACTTAGAATCAACGTTGAAGAGTGGTGAGTACACATTTTAGTTACGAGTCAAAGTTTAATAATAATAATAATAATAATGAATTATTTAAAAAAGCTTTCCATATCAATGACATTTCAAAGCGTTGTACATTAAAATGCAAAAATTAAATTAACTTTAAACAATTAAAACAAAGTAACAGGAGTTATAAAACAAAATTAAGAATTAAGCAGTAAAAACTAAACATTTAAATTAAAATATTAGCTGATGCTTGGCACAAGAGAATTGGAGTAGAGGTGGACATGTGTTATGAATTGGTTAGTCATTTGTCATCCATTCTTCAGCGATAAAGTAGGGAAAAGATCGAGCGTGTCAGCAATTGCATCACGAACGAGGGAGGCTAGCCCTGTTTCCTGGTTCGTTGGTTTTTATGGGTGCGGTGGAGACGGTGTTTTGGGCGTGGAGGACGCAAAGTGGCCACCTGCTTTTCTGCTACCAGAAAAGTAGGAAAGGAAGTTTTATCACAGTGTTTATAACATGTTCGATCGCTGGCAGCCGAAAAATGGCCAATCTGCTTTTCTCCTTTCGAGCAGGCAGAAAGGAGGATCAGACGTTTTGACAACAACCCTGAATTGTACATTTTTTCATAACAGAGAAGCAGATTTAGGTGGCTTTAAAGTGTTTTTTTTTGCCATCCAAGGGCCATGAACGGGGTCGTGAACCCTTGTTATGACCATTTCCTTTCCATGAGATTGAAGACGTCTACCAATAATTACGGTACATCTATCTTTTGTAATGAAAGATTCCAATGTTTCCCAAGCAAGCCTGTGTGTCTATTGGATGATAGCTGTAAAACTGCATTTCATTTCAGCTGCTATTTGCTCTGCCTCACAGGGACACTGATACTGCCGTGTGGGATTGGTCCCCAGGAAGCATGGTTAGGTATTGGTTTCTACGTCTTCACTTCCAAAACGGAAACGGTCGTAACCTACCGGTTCATGATCCCATTCACTGCCCACTGAGGACAAAAAAGCGGATGGCCACTTTTCGGCCACCTATTTCAAAATCTGCCTTTCCGGTATCACAAAAGCAGAAAAGTTGAATTCAACTTTG